AAGGCACAGGATTACAGGCTGAGCCACCGAGCCCGGCTTAATTTTTTTTTTTAATTGTAGAGAGTGGTCTCACCAAGTCACCCAGGCTGGTCTCAAACCCATGAGCTCAGGCAATCCTCTCACCTCAGATTATAGGCATGAGCCACTGTGCCTAGCCTGTAGTATGTTTAAATAAGTTTACAGCTTTTCATTCACTTGTTTCACTTCCAGGAACTTTTCTTAGAAAAATATACAAGTATATTTTTGAGACTCCAACTCAAAAAATAAAAAATAAAACAAATCAGAAAGTTAGCCAGGTGTGGTCCGCATGCCTGTAGTTCCAGCTACTTGGAAGGTTGAGGCGGAAGGATTACCTGAGCTCAGCAGGTCGAGGCTGTGGTGGCCGTGAGGGTGCCACTGCACTCCAGCCTAGGTGACAGAGTGAGACTCTGACTCAAAAAAAAAAAGTAAAGGAAAAAAAGAATGAGGCTGTTCTGACAGAAAAGTGTCTGTGACATTCCTTTTAGTGAAATAAACAAGTTACAGGATGCTTTTGTAGTTCATTTAGTGTGATGATTGGGTATTCGTGCACGAATGTGTGAGATGTGCTACCCTTAAACCTTTTTATGATGTTGGCACATTACCTGTCTGACAATTACGTAGCATTTTGTATAATATTAACCCATTTATGTTTAAAAATGCAACATAAATGTTTCATGCATGTATACCTCGGGTATGTACATGTGTGTGTGTACATGCTTATACAGGCATTTAAAAAAGTTCAAACAAGTTGGGTATGGTGGCTCAGGCCTGTGATCCCAGCACTTTAGGAGGTTGAGGTGAGAGGATTGCCTGAGCCCAGGGGTTTGAGACTAGCCTGGGCAAGACCTTGTCTCTATAATAAATCAAAAAGTTAGCCAGGCGTGGTTAACTTAGAAGGCTGAGGAGAAAGGATCACCTGAGCCCAGCAGGTCAAATTGCTGTAGCTGTGGTCATGCCACTGCATTCCAGCCTGGGTGACAAGAGTGAGGCCCCGACAAAAAAAGAAAAGAAAAGAAATAGTTAAAACAGAGCCGGGCTTGGTGGCTCAGCCTGTAATCTCATGCCTTTGGGAGGCTGAGGTGAGTGGACTGCCTGAGCCCACGGGTTTGAGACCTGTCTGGGCAACTTGGCAAGACCTCATCTCTACAATAAATCAAAATGAGCCGGGCATGGTAGCATGCGCCTGTAGTTCCAGCTACCTGGACAGCTGAGGTGGAAGGATCGCTGGAGCCCAGCAGGTCGAGGCTGCGGTGGCTGGGAGCGGCCACTGTACTCCAGTCTGGGTGACAGAGTGAGACTCCAACTCAAAAAAAAAAATAGTTAAAACAGGCCAATATAGTGGCTCACACTTGTAGTCCCAATACTCTTCAAAGTAGTAAGCCGCTGGCCACGGTTATCTCTGGATGGGGGACTGGAGAGAACTTCCCTCCAGGCCCTATGAGACATACCAAAGTTTCAGAACCATGGTTCTAACCCAAAAGTTGGCAAACATTGGCTGTGTGGCCCTCTACAGAAAAACTTTGGGTTAAGATTATAATCCATCAGCAGCTCGTTTTTCAGGATGATTCTTCTCCTCCTCCTTTTTTTTTTGAGTTGGGGTCTCACTCTGTCACCCAGGCTGGAGTGCAGTGGCACAATCACACCTCACCACAGCCTCGACCTCCTGGGCTCAGGCGATCCTCCCTCCTCAGCCTCCCAAGTAGCTGGGATTACAAGCATATGCCACCACACTTGGCTAATTTTTTGACTTTTTTGTAGAGACAGGGTCTCACTATGTTACCCAGACTGGTCTGGAACCCCTAGGCTCAAGCAATCCTCCTGCCTTGGCCTCCCAGAGTGCTGGGATTAAAGGAATGAGCTACCATGCCTAGCCATTACTGGTTTCTAGTCTGCCTTCCCACTAGATCATGAGGCACAGGGCATGGGGCAGAGGACACACTTAGTAAACACCACCCTCTGGCCAACCAAATTTCCGGGCTCTGCCTCATGAACCCTGACACCTGTGTGGGCCTGAGATCCCACCCCCTTCCTCCCCCAGGGCCTCCAGGGATGGATAGGGAGACTCACAAAGGCCTTGGTGTACTGGTTAAGCATGAAGTTCTCGCTGACAGCGTGCTGGAAGGCTTCCATGGCAAAGCTTGGGGGTGAGAAGTCGGGAAAGCCCTGGCCCAAGTTCACGACGTCATGTTCACTGGCCAGTTTGACATACTCCACCCTGGGTGACAAATGGAGAGTTGGCACCAGCCCAATCTTCCATCCTGATCTTGGACTTCTGTCTTTTATCAGTGCAGAGTGAATATGTGCAAGCCTTGTTCTAGAAAAAGTAGACAACTGGCCAGGCATGGTGGCTCATGCCTATCATCCCAGCACTTCAGGAGGCCGATGTGGGAGGATCGCTTGAGCCCAGGGGTTTGAGACCAGCCTGGGCAACATAGCAAGGCCTCGCCTTTAAAAAAAATTAGCCAGGCATGGTGGTGCACGCCTATAGTCCCAGCTACTTGGGAGGCTAAGGAGGGAAGATCGCCTGAGTCCTGGAGGTTGAGGCTGTGATGAGCCATGATTGTGCCACTGCACTCCAGTCTGGGCAACAGAGTGAGACCTTGACTCAGAAAGAAAAATAAAAAGTGGACAATCAGCTTCTGCCCTGGCTTGAAGATCTGTGTGAGGGTCATAGTGTGATTAAGTGGGCCAGACACAGTGTCAATTGCATGGATCAGCACAGGGGCTTTCAAACTTCTTCCACCACCACCCATAGTAAGGAATGGTGTGCGTGTGTGTGTGTGTGTGTGTGTGTGTGTGTGTGTGTGTGTGTGTTGGAGTCTCAAAACATGAGACATGTTTTGGCACATGGCACGATCGTTGCTTACCGCAGCCTAGACCTCTTGGGTTCAGGTGATCCTCCAGCCTCAGCCTCCTGAGTAGCTGGGACTGCAGGCATGGGCCACTACACCTGCCTAATTTTTAATTTTTTTTGTAGAGTTGAGGTCTCGTTATATTGCTCAAGCTGTTCTCAAACTCCCGGGCTCAAGTGATCCTCCCGCCTTGGCCTCCCTAAGTGCTGGGATTACAGCCATAAGCCACAAATTTGTGCCTGGCCTACAAATTAATCAAACCTAAGGAAGAGGTTGTGGGAACCACAATTTATAGGCAGTTGATCAGAAAAACAGCCCACACCCTGTGCTGGCGACTGGCATTGGAAGCTGGGGAGGTCTTGAAAGACTGAACCCTCAGCCTGTGGGATCTGATGCTGTCCCTAGGTAGACAGTGTCAGAGTTGAATGCAGTGAGAAGACACCCTAGTGGCCATCAGAGAATCACCTGCAGAATTGCTTGCTTGGTGTGTGACCTACACATCGGGGTCACAGAATGTTCTGTGCTGTGAATCTGAGAAACTGAGTTTATTTTTTCCTAAATCCTTACAGAGCTGGACTTTACCTTATCTGCAAAATAAGATCATATGGCTTTCTAGTCCATTCACAAGAGGACAAAGGGTAACAGCCTGAGGACCAGGACCCTGGAGGACCAATATAGAGGGCAGACTTTGTGAGTCTTTGGACAAGGCTTTCCCTGTTCCAAACAGCATGGAATATCTAAAGAGAAGAGGTGCAAAATCTTTGCAAAACACAAAATGAGCCACGTACAGTGACTCACGTCTATAATCTCAACACTGGGAGACAGAGGCAAGAGGATTTCCTGAGCCCAGGGGTTCCAGACCAGCCTGGACAACATCGCCAGACCTCATCTCTACAAAAAATAAAAAAATTAGCACTGGGCGTGGTAGCTCACACCTGTAATCCCAGCACTTTGGGAGGCTCAGATGAGAGGATTTCCTGAACCCAGAGGCTCAAGACCAGCCTGGGCAACTTGGCAAGACCTTGTCTCTACAATAAATAATTAAAAAAATTAGCCGAGTGTGGTGATGCATGGCTGCAGTCCCAACTACTTGGGAGGCTGAGATGGAAGGATCAGCTGAGCCCAGAAGATTGAGGCTGCAGTGGCCATGAACTTGCCACTGAACTCCAGCCTGGGTGACAGAGTGAGATTCTGACTCAAAAAAAAAAAAAAAAAAAGTAATTCCTGGATTGCTGTTAGCTTGGCACCTGGATACATGGATATTGCTAGTAGACAGCATTGCCTCTCCCTCTCCCCAAGGCCCTTCAGGGAGGCATAATTATCCCCATTTTGCAGCTGGGGAGCTCATGCTCTGAGCTGGTATGTCACCTGCTCTAGCGCCATAGCCAAGCAACCTAGAGCTGAGAGTCGAACCCAAGCCCACTGCCTGGGGTCTTGCCTCTCCGGGGCTGTGGCTATACCATGACCCTGCTGGGTAACATGGAATTACTGCAAACCCAGGGACGGCCAACCTGCCCGAAGGGACACACACACACCTCCCAGCCCTGCTGGCTCACCAGGGGTTGTGGTCGATCCCGTCCAGCCTTCGGGCCTGCAGTCGTTTGGCCATGGCGAGCTGGGGACAGCAAGCGGACAGCGAGCAGAGGGTCAGAGTTGGAATCCGTCTAGCCGCCTGCCCGGGAGAGCCAGTTGCTGTCGGATCACATAGCCCCACCCATCCACTCCTAGGGAGGAGGCGGGGAGCCCAGGAAGCAGGGCAGGCTCCACCCGCCATCCAAGCCCGTTTCCCCCAAGATCCCACCCCTGGCTCCCCCTCCCTGAGCCTCGACCTCCCCAATCTTCAGGGGCCACCTGGCGCCTCCCAACCCTGGTGCAATGTGTCCCCAGACAGAGCCCTGCCTTAGCCATGTTTAAGTTTGACCCAGAAAGCGCTGGAGGCTGAGGAGGAAGAGCAGGAGAGGGGGGTGGGGGAGAGAAGTTAATGGCCTCTGCTAACAAAGGTCGTGCTAAGTCTTCCGTGTAGTTCTCAGAGGGATCTGGTTGGCCCCATCTTTTTATTTTTTAATTTTTTTTGAGTCTGGCATTTCACTCTGTTGTCTAGGCTGGAGTGCAGTGGCACGATCATGGCTCACCACAACCTCAGCCACCTGGGCTCGAGTGACTCATCCTCCAGCCTCAGTTGCCCAAGTAGCTGGAATGACAGGCACACGCCACCACACTGGATAATTTTTAAATTTTTTGTAGAGCAGAGGTCATGCTATGTTGCTCAGGTTGGTCTCGAACTCCTGGGCTCAAGCAAGCCTCCTGCCTCGGCTTCTCAAAGTGCTGTGATTGCAGGCGTGAGCCACCGTGCCCAGTCGCAGGCCCTCAAGAGTCTCGCTCAGTCCCACAGCACCCCCACCTCGAGGTGCTGGGATAGTTCGCATCTAACAGATGAGGACACTGAGGCTCAGAGAGGCTCAAGGACTGCCCAGGGTCAGAGGAGAAGCTGGCCAGGACCCAGGTCAGGGTGGTTGCCAGTCTCCTGCCATGGGAGGGGTCCCCCAGGGGGGCTCTGCGTGAAACCTAGGTTCTTCCATAGCCCAGGAGTCCTGCTGATGTGAGGGGATGGCAGAGCCCAGCAGGGGGCCTGGCGCCCAAGGGAGCGCGCCAGCCCTCACTGCCGGTCCCTTCACTGAGTCCCTGACACGTCACCAGGCCTAGCACTCAGCACAGATCAAAATACGAGAGGACCCCCGCAAAACCCGTAACTTATTCATGGAAAAACGTGTATTTATTCTTCCATGTTTGAGCTTCAGTCACCTTCAAAGTACCCTCTGATGGATGCAATGCACCTCTTGAGAGGCTTTTTCCCCCGCTCAAAAGAGTTTTTGAACTCATCCATTTTGATGCCCTTTTGTGCTTCTGCCTTTTTTTGGTCTCACCTCTTCCACATTGGCAAAATATTTCTCTTTGAAGACTTTTTTTTTCCTTCAAGGAAACAACAAAGGGTCATTCGGGGCGAGATCGGGTGAATAGGGACAGTGAGGCATGGGGGTCTGGCCGTTTTTGGTCAAAAATTGCTGAACACTGCGCGGCGTGGGCAGGTTGTTTGTGTAAATCACCCGTCATAGCCGGGCTCGGTGGCTCAGCCTGTCATCCCGCGCCTTTGGGAGGCTGAGGTGAGTGGATTGCCTGAGCCCGTGGGTTCGAGACCCGCCTGGGCAGGTGAGACCCGATCTCTATAATAAATCAAAAAATCAGCCGGGCGTGGTAGCGCGCGCCTGTAATTCCGGCTACTTGGAAGGCTGAGGTGGAAGGATCGCCGGAGCCCGGCAGGTCGAGGTTGCGGTGGCTGGGAGCGGCCACTGCACTCCAGTCTGGGCGACAGAGTGAGACTCTGACTCAAAAAAAAAAAAGTGTGTTTTTTGGGGGGTTCCCCTCATAGTTTAAAATGAGGGTGAGCCAGGCACAGTGGCTCACACCTATAGTCTCAGCTGCTCAGGAGGCTGAGGTGAGAGGATTGCTTGAGCCCAGGAGTTTGAGGCCAATCTGGGTAGCATATTGAGACCCTGTTGCTATTAAAAAAAAGCGAAGATGAGTCAGCGGGGGTGGGGGAATATGGGGAATAGAAGTTGTAGTGGGCCAGGCTTAGTGGCTCAGGCTGTCATCCCAGCATTTTGGGAGGCTGAGGTGAGTGGACTGCCTGAGCCCGCGGGTTCGAGACCAGACCGGTCAACTTGGGAGGACCTCATCTCTACAATTAAAAAAAAAAAGAAAAATTAGCTGGGCATGGTAGCGTGTGCCTGTAGTTCTGGCTACTTGGAAGGCTGAGGTGGAAGGATCGCTGAAGCCAGCAGGTCAAGGTTGTGGTGGCCGTGAGCGTGCCACTGTATTCCAGTCTGGGTGACAGAGTAAGACTCCAACTCAAAAAAAAAAAGTTGTAGTGAAGGGGAGCTGGGGGTTAGGAAGGGGGCTAC